CAATTTCGCATTAGAAATGAATGTACTGTATATATTTCTGAGCTTCTGTGTAATTATTTTGCAATTAAGCGGATAATTAGCCAAGATGGACGTGGTTCCAGTTACTTAATCTGTACGGATTCACTCTCTTCCCTGGAGTCCCTTAAAAATACCGCTTCATGTAATGATATTATTGTTAATATACAGCAGTCTCTCGAAGATCTGGAGAAAAAGGGTATTTCAGTGTTTTTTACATTTGCCCGTGGTCACTAGGGTAATTATGGAAAAAAAGAGAGCTGATTGGCTTGCTAAGAATGCAACTAAAAAGGATATCAATGTTGATGTAACATTCCAAAATCTTATTTAAAAAAAACATTCAAAGTAAAATGATTGAGCAATGGAACTCTTCTGATAAGGGATCTGTTACAAAAACATTCTTCCCAAACTATTTTTGAAAGACTGAAAAGTAAGGACTTGTTGCTCAATTTTAAAGTTATGCAATTTTTGTCTGGACATGGTAAGTTTAAAGTTTATGTTGAACGGTTTAAGCTGACGTCTTCCAATTTGTGTTATTGAAATCTTAGCGTTCAGCAAAGCGTTTTCCACCTGCTTTTTGACTGCTCATTGCTTGATAAAGCAAGAAATCTATTGAAATGCAGATTAAATTTAATTGAAATTCGTTGGCCGCCGAAATGTTATGATTTTGTATCTTCCACTTCAGCCCACCGAGCTTTCAACGATTTTGTTGGCTTTTATTTTAAACATTGCAAATGATTTCTTTATACATTTTTATATTTTTGTATTCTTTTTGTGTGTATTTTCTTTATGTATGATTTCATTGTATTATTGAAAATTGATGTTATTACGTACAATATTTTGCCTTTTTTAGTTACGATTTGTACTTTGTGGTGCACGAGGATTTCTTTTTCTTTAAATAAATAAATAAAAAGCTATTACTTGAAAGTGCATACAGTGACAGGTAGTACATGCAGTGTGACAAGTAGTACATGTTAAAAGGCTTACCAATTTTTAGTTTTTGCCGAAAAGGGAGTATTAGTCTCCAGTGAGATTTCGCGTCGAATCACTGTAAATGCGTTGTTTCACTTTTCATTCCATTCATTCGAGTCTGTTGCCATTCGAAAAAATGTAAGTTCTTTCAAACTGAATTTCTCTGTTGTGGATTAACAAACTAAGCCATTTGAAAGCAACAGATGCAATTCTTAAGAATATTCCTTTCTTACTTTTGAATAGAATCAATTCAAATAATAACAATAACAAAAAAATATGAAAGCTTTCAGATTTTATATTACGCCCAAAGAGGCGTTTTTCTACTTTAAACATACATACACGTTTCGAGGCAATTGCGCTGACTTCCCTTTGGACTAAAAATATTTAGAAACAGCATAGCTTTAGAATTTCCGATAGACAGTCTTGCCCGCGCGAGATAAAAATATTTTATAAATATTTAAAATGATATAAATAATATTAAAAAATATAAACAGTGTGTTGCCACTGTTTGCCTAGAAATCATTCAATTTCTTAACCTAAAATTTGTTAAAGTTTAAAAAATATGGAATAGATGATAAAACAAATTCCAAATTCAAGATTCGGACTTGCAGGTGCCCATACTTGGATGGACGATTTACGTTATCCAAAATTTGATGACTCTAGGTATCGTTCTTTATTCACAACGCACGAAACATGCATATATTCATGCAGATTCTTCATTATTTAATTTCTTTAAATATAATACAGTGCGATAATATTTAGTGGCAACAATTTGAAAGTGATGCAGCAGTTTATAGTGATTCGACACAAAATGGCGTTTCGAGATTAATAGCCCTTCTGAACTAACACCTCTTTGGGCTAAAAGTTCATTTAATTAATGATCTATATAATTAGGAAGTATTCGGTATTTTCATAGAATGACGTTCTATGTATGTATTTGTATAATTCATTTCATATTTTTCAAAACTTTAATGAATTTTTAGTTAACAAACTCAACGATTTGAAAACGAGCTGTTTTTAATTTTTTTTAATCCTAAAGTGACGTTGGCAAAAATGCTCTGGAAATGTGTACGTGTGAAAATGAAAAAAATAAAATGCTCTCTTTAGACGTGACACAAAACCTGAAAAGCTTTCAGGATTTTTGAGTTTATATATCAGGAATTAACTAATATTTAATTTTTTTTTATTTTGCTAAAAAAAATTCTGGGTCCATTAAGATCGTTCATGCCGGCCGCATACTGCATTGTTTTGGGACCACTGGTATATAGCATTCTCTGCTTTTTTCAATAAAGCAAGCCACATGAAAAATTAGGTAATTTTCGAAGCAAGACACATGAAAAATTAGGTATGCCTTGGTGAGGAACCGAATAACGGATTTCTAATTGCTAGCTGAACATGTTATCAGTTACACCACGAAACAGCGTGAGGGAAAAATGCGATCGTCTTAATGGGCGACTGGGGAGAGAACGCAGCCCACCCGATCTAGATGACCTGTATCTCTATATATATCGAACTCTCGCCGACCACATTTTAGTTCGGTAGGTACTGAGAAGACTGTTAGTATTTTATACGGAATTAGAAAAGGGAAGAACAAGCTATTCCTTTCCCGAGATTAGAATAATTTACTGCCAGTTACACCACGAGGGCACACGCTAGAGAATGCAGCAATTACTTGTAAAGTCAGGTTTCTGTGAAATTCTGCTGTTAATTTTATTGACATGAAAAATCAATGAAAATATAACCTAGATAAGATTACGTAACAAATATTTAAAAATATAGTAGAGAATGAATTTTCATATGTAGTACTATTTAAATATATTAGCGAAAGTATATGTACCACATAGGCGTGTGGTTGGCAGACAAGAGCATGCCAAAAAACTATGTAAACTTTTTTCATATATCTATATCTATATTTATATCTATATATCTATATATATATACGTGTGTGTGTTTTCAGAATAATGCAACGTTCTTGATAGACACTAAAGGATGCACACAGTAAGTTTTTGGTTTATAAAGTTATTCTGGCCTAATTAATTTAACTTAACATTTAATTTAATTGAATATTTTTGATATATTACATGTACTTTTATTTACATTTACATTATAAACTTTTATTTTCACATTTTTACATGACATGCTCATCTCATTGATTCGATACTAAAAATACATTCGCATTTAAATAAAGTTTATCATTCCAAATAATTTAAATTAATTTACATCGTGTAGCGGAATTCTTGATATGCATATAAGTATGCTAAATTTGGGAATTAAATATTTACATTTAATTTAATTTCTGGTTTCGATTTGCATATGCATAGCAAGGACGAAACACGATTTTTGAAATGTGAGTGTGGAAATGGACTAATTTCCCCCTGAAGAGTTGGTATTATTTCACTATCCTATCGGTTGTTCCTTTTTAAGTAACTTTAATTTTCATTAATGAATTTTTATTACAATTTTATGTACAGCCACTACTATTGGCCGTTGCTAGTAAAGTAATTTTTCCGTACCAGTTTCACTTTTATTATTTAATACTTGTAAAAAAAATATTCTAAATTTTTAATATTACTTTAAAAATACGAAATTGTAATTCTCTTAATTTAATTTTAAATAAAAAAACTTTGGTAGGAGTATTTCCCTTAATTATAATTATACTCTTTATTAATAATTATAATTATAATTAAAGGAGAGTATATATAATTAATTAATATATATATATAATTTCAGAAGTATTCATAAAGTAATAGGAAATGTAAAGGAAATTATTTACTAAGAACTTCGAAATGAAATTTAGAAAGTAAATGTGTTAAATAATAATTTGACAATTTAGAAATCACAATTACACTATCGCTGCAATAATTAATTGAAATTTGTAAATAAATACTTTGGAATTGTCAATTAAAATGTATGTACATTTATTGACAATGCCAGTATTGACAATTCCAGTGTATTTACATTTTAATTAATAATTTAATGTATTTACATTTATTCATAATTCAAGTGTATTTATTTACAAATTCCAATTAATCAGTACCGCGATAGCGCACTTGTGCTTTCTAAATTGCCAATTATTTTTTAACACAATAGTGCTTATTTGTTTCGGAAATTTCTTTCCGAATTTCCTAGCAGATAATTTCCTTTACATTTCCTATTTCGTTATTAAATTAAATATTAGCATTGCAACAATAGCGCAGGATTTTACTTTTTTAATACTATTAAATAAATTTTAAAATTCACTTATTTTAAAGTTTTCCTTTACTATATATGTATTGCTCGATAATATGATAAAATAAAATAAAAAAAATAAAATAAAAAAAAAAAAATCTGAAATGTTTCAGAAATGTTCACAACGTTGCCATTGCTCGCTTTGAAATCCTTGAGTTTGTTAATCAAAAATTCGTCAAAGTTTTAAAAAATAGGAAATCGATCATAAAACAAATTTCAAATTTCAAATTTGGTCTTCCACGTGCTCATATTCGTTGGAGGATTACGTTATTCAAAATTCGATGACTCTATGTACCGTTGTTTTATCACAATACGAGAAATATACATACATTTATGCAGATTTTTCATTATTTAATTTCTTCAAATATAATGCAGGACTCTAACAATTTGTGGCAACAGTTTGAAAAGTGAACCGACATTTATGAGTCCAACGCAAAATGCCAAAACGAAACTAATAGTCCTTCGGGATTCAAATCCCTTTGGACTAAAAAAAGTGTATTAATTGAATTTGTTGAGATTTAGTGTGTAAGCAATTAGAAGTATTAAAAAAGAAAACTGCTTTAAATAATATGAAGTAATTAGAATCTAAATGATTGGCCACATAAGATGCCTCTCAAATACGTCCCGAACGTGGCACCCCGTACCATCTTACCCACCACACCATCCTAGCGGGAAGGGGACGGCGTCAAGCACTTAGAGGGGGCGTATCTTCAATAAAACCAGCTGCATTGGTGTAGCGTTTCACATCGCTGTAACTGGGCTCTGCAGAAGTTCAGACAGTGGCACGGATCTCCTGGATGTGGTCGAGAATGCTGGACAAATGGGTGCTTCGAGTGCAGTGCCTTATTTTAATAATTTTGGGCATATTTGCGACAGATTCTGGATCTAAAGACCCTTTCTCTCAACAGTAAGTGAAGTCAAACATATATCAAATGTAAATGTAAAGTTTATTTGAAAGCTGAATTAAAAAATGCTAAATTTATAGTAGCTAAAATATCAAGAAATATGGCGCAAATTAGAAGCTGAAATATTGAATTATTTTTCTAATCAATACATTATATGGTGCATAAATGTGTAGAAATATTACTGAGCTGTTTATTACAGTTTTCATACGCCAATTAAATGTAGATACGGTCTGTATTCATTTATGCCATTAATTTTCAAATTGTATTACTTGAAACACTGAGGTTCCTTGAAATTTCTTTAGGTTTCCTCAAATCAAGTTCAGAATTCGATAGCGGCCCACCAGTGGCCGAGCGGTAAAGTCGCTAAACACTTGTAATTCGGTCCGAGGTTCGAAACCCGCAAACATGCGGCCTGCATGGGCGTTTTCGTGTTCCCCCCCGGCTGTGTAATATGTATACGAGCCAGTTTCCCCTAGAAAATCCTCCAAGAAGGCGTCCCTTTCCTTTGGCAAATGGCCCTCGAGGCTTTGCCGTAATCACATTAAATCAAAACCAAAAACTAGAATTCGGTAGGTAATTCAAGTGTATTTATTTACAAATTCCAATTAATCATTACCACATGGACAGTAAAGTAAACAACTAAAATTATGAGTGTTTTTTTCTTATTTATTTTATTAAAATAACGCCAAGTAAGTTTATTTATATTTTTAATTTTACCTAAGATAACAAAAAGTAAATTTACTTATCTTTTTATTTACGATTGCTTGAATTTTCTTATTGAAGCCACAAGAAATAATTTCTAGGAGAGATAATATTATGAAATAATGATTTTTTTCCCGTTTTCTATATAAAGACTGTATTTTATATACAATCCAATGATTACAATGCCCCCTTTTTTAAAATATATATGTTTCCTCTAAAGTGCGAAAGTCCTTAATATGCACAACGTAGCTAATCTGCAGATTAACTAATTTACTCCGTTATAGTGCGGATTTAAGAGTTTTCCGCATTTTACCTAGGTAAAGTGCAGATTAACCGCTTTCGGTATCGTTAAAGTTCAATAGTTTGTTTCCCTCATTTTCTTTCCCTCTCCCTCCACTTGCACATTACCTACTAGGTACTCGCTGATCTGCACATAATCTACTAGTCGTTCGTTAATCCGAAAATACTATCTTTGCTGAAACATGAACAGCGTTTCTGTACGCTAAATTAACATAACGTTATTTATTTACTTTCGATACGTAAAAAATTACTTTAATGCAATCAAACAATCAACAAATTAGTTGGTAGAATCAATCATCAATCAATTAAAAAATTGTAATGAAAAGATTAAACGATTTAAAATATTATTACAAAAAGGGAATGAATTTGCTAAACATATGATATATATATATATATATGTATTTAAAAATATTTTTAAATAATAAATTAAGGACTAAAAGGGGTTAAAAATATAATAAAATCAATGTCTCAAGCTGCCTAAAACTGAAAATTGTTTTGCACGTATTAGCATATATTGTTTTGCACGTATTAGTGCAAAACAATATATGCTAAAGATTGGTGACACTTTGAATTACACAGCAACTGGATTTTGCGACAAGCACACCTATTCGTGGTACATTTAGATTCGCAGGGACATTTTCTGAAACCCTGTCCGAACAATAGTTTAAAAGTGTAAGTGGCGGCTGTTTTAAAAAAAGCGTGGAGAAACGTTGCTGTTTTTCCAGTAAAGATCTTATTTTCACTTTAACGAGTGCCTAGTAGGTAATGTGCAGATTATCTAGGTAACTTGAGAAATGAAACATTTTTCCACACTTGAACGGATCACATAACTAATTTGCAGAATAACTGATTTCCGCACTTTAACGGTAACATATAAATGATGAGTTCTTAATTTTAGTTTCAATAAAAGGAGATTAATTTTTATTTGTATAATATTGTACATTTTCCCTTTTGCACTTTTGTTTTTCGAGATTGTTTTACTATGAATTCCCTCTTTTATTCAATTAGTTCTGATATTATACATATATGCAAGAAAAATAAAGAATACGTAAAACATTAAATTAGCAGCTTAAAAAGTGAATTTCCCTTCTGTATTCTAAAAATAGCAACTTCTATTTGCACTGCGTCATTTCGAGAAAAACTATGTCACATGATTCTTACGTAATTCTGGTAATGTAAATTAAACTAAAACTCAAGCAGCCAATAACAATTTTACAGCAATATTAACTATCCAATCAAAATGCTTTGAGAACCAAACTCAGTCTGAATAAGATTTCACCCTGAAAATAACGCACTTTTTATCTACGCTTTGCCTTAGCTGGACTGCAGTCTGTTTCCTTCTTCTTTTTTGCTGAAAATCTACCAAAAATGTAAGCCCTTTGGAACAGGCACATTTAATGTGCCGAATTATGTGTAGCCGCAACATGTCGCTGAAAATAAAACTGAAGATTTAATCTGCCTTCGCCTCCAATTTCCTAGTCATTATGCATCAACACTTCTACGCCATCAAAATTCTGCCTCCTGCTCTTCAGTTACTTCTGACTTTGTTTATATATATGTGTGTGTGTGTATTTAAAAAATATTTTAATAATAAATTAAGGACTAAAATGGGCTAAAAATATAATAAAATCAAGGTCTCAAGCTGCCTAAAACTGAAAATTTAATTTTACCAAATACAATAATTTTTAATATAAAGGCTGTACTGTCCTGAAAATTTTACTATTTTCTGACTTATATTTACGAAATTCAGCAATTGTATTTTATAATTTGAAATCACTTATAATTAATATGAAAGTTTTAGTAAAACTTTAAAGGTGTGGAGCAGTTTTAAAATATTGTTAATGAAAGAGGTAAGTTTAAGTAATTGCTCTAAGTTGTTCTGAAGCTCTGAGGTGTTTAAAGTCGAAAAATGCTTAACAATTTTACTTTTCTTCCTACAGTTTTGGTATTAAAATGCTATAGGTAGTAGAGTTATTAGAACCCAGATTGCTTGCATGTATTTAGTCCATATGGGTAAAATGTTTTAAGTTGTAAAAAATGTAGAGAGATGCTCTAAAAATCCTGCTTTTAAGTCAGGAATTGCATCCAAAATTTAAATTTTAATGTTATTGAAGTCACAAAACTGAAATTGCTGTAGTTCTGCTGTTACTGTTCGCATATTATTTTGACGATTTTCATTGTATTTACAGAAGTATTTTATCTAAAATTTTCGTTTTTTAAATGTTGTGTTTGATAGCCCTAATTCTTCACTGTCTTTCTCGACCGTAACTTCCCAGAGAATAAAGCTAACCCTAATTCTTCACTGTTTTTCTCGACCGTAGCTTCCCAGATAATAAAGCTAACCCTAATTCTTCACTGTCTTTCTCGACCGTAACTTCCCAGAGAATAAAGCTAACCCTAATTCTTCACTGTCTTTCTCGACCGTAGCTTCCCAGATAATAAAGCTAACCCTATTTCTTCACTGTCTTTCTCGACCGTAACTTCCCAGAGAATAAAGCTAACCCTAATTCTTCACTGTCTTTCTCGACCGTAGATTCCCAGATAATAAAGCTAACCCTAATTCTTCACTGTCTTTCTCGACCGTAACTTCTCAGAGAATAAAGCTTTTGTAGTACAGGTAGAACTATTTTATTCCAATGTTCTTGAACAGCTTTCCAATGTCCAAGCAGTGTTGTAGGTCGACGTTTGGACAATACATTTTTTAAAAGCTCAAAAAGTGCAAAAAAACATGCATGATACATTAGGAGATCTGATAGGGATGTGAGTCAAGGATACGGCCTTGATAGCCATTTTTTCCCATTTGTTTCAGAAAATTAACAGCGGATTTTGACGTTTGGTTGCTTACTTTATGTTGGTGCAGTTTTGATGATTGATGTTGGTGCAGTTTTGATGATTGATGTTGGTGCAGTTTTGATGATGGAATTTTGTTCTCCCATAAATAAAATCACGAGTTCCATACTCAAGGACCCCATTCCATATAAGAATTCCTGGGGCATTTACAGGATTCATTGTTAGTGTGGCTTCATTTACATTGGCCAAACTAAGACAGTCTTAAAATTTCGCGTTAAGGAACATGAGGCATATGTTAGAAAAAAGGAAACACAGAAGTCTTCTTTGCCAAACATTGTTGGTCCGAAAATCACACTTTCAATTTTTCTGCTGCCAAAATTATTTAAAACACATCTTCCATTGGTGAAATGGATTTTCTAGAGTCATTTCACATTCAAAAAAATCTTTCTGTTCTAGTTAACGACCCTAATTCCAATCCATCTTTGCCTGCCTTTAAAGAAATTATGTTTTAGTTCTGGTTTCATCAACAGATGGCGCCAGTAGCTTAACTTCTGTCTAATCTTTCTTATCTTTTTTTTTATCTAATCACTATATCTTATCTCGTTCATTTGCGCTTTTGCAGCTTAGGATGATGGTTCGGTAAAACCATCGAAACTAGTCCTGTGAAAATTTGAAAGCATAACGCTGATTTTTTTTTTTTTTTTTTGACTTCTAAATTAGTATTTGTTCGGTGTGTTTTTGTGTCTTAATCATTAACTATTCAATTTTTAAATGATTAATGATTTTAATAATCGTTTTATCCATTTATTTACTCTGTTCTTCTTTCCTGACGGTCTTCCAGAGTGCTCCGGCACTTTTAGAAATTGCTTTGTTAAGAGGATTCCTAGAATTACAACAGCCTGAATTTATGCAATTATTTTTGTTGCTGCTTATTCCATTTCATTTCAAGTCCAGATAAGCTGGAAGAAAGAAAAATTCATTACGAAAATAAGCACAATATGTAGCACACACAGCGCATGGTAGGGAGTTGATGAAATTTTTTATTGTGTGATATGTCTATATTTATTCTTAGATTGAGAACATACTTAGTTTGACATATATAGATTAGATTACAGGTATTTCAAGCATTAGCAAGAAAAATTATTTTTTGTTTCTGTGAGTTTTTCAAAGAAAAATCTATTTGCTGGTTATTGATTATTAGACGTGACAT